AATAGGCAGCCCCTTACAAGGAAGGAAGATGCCATGATAACATGTAACTGCTGTGCTGAGTAAGAGTCCTCTGCCTAAACTGACAATTTAGCAATGTTTATTTTCCATTATTATTTGGAAGACCCATGAAGACATGAATAAGCATGATAAAATGCCATGCTTTTATGTGCTGCATTAGCTTCTGAGACTGTCGTGTAACCAGATTATGTATGTGATGAATGTTCAGCTCCTTCCTTATCCCGCAGAGACAGAGGCTGTGTCTGGGGTGGTGGTGTAGCAGGGGAGGAGGTGTGGGCTGCCCAGATACTTTTTTTTTTTTTTTTTTTTCTTTTTGATGGTAGAAAGGACTTACCGCTTCAGATCTTTTTTCTTTTTTTTCCCCTTCTCTTTTTTCTCTTCTTTTTTCTTTTTTTTTTTTTACCCAAGTTTGCGTATGCTCAGTGTTGTTGCAGCTGTGTGTGTTTCTGAAAACTCAGGCAGAAGATTGTAATCATTAGTTCCCCTGGCTTTTGTCACAGTGATAGAAGGGGGGCATTTGGTGCCTCTGTCAGTACTGGGTCAGGCAGTAAGTGAACACATGTGCTAAAACTAGCTGAGTGCTGTAATGTGTATTTATTAGCTCTAGGGCGGACAGACTAGGCTCTTTGCTAAATACTGGGGTTTTTTTTTCGGTAACTTTACCTGATGAGTAATCTGCTCTAGCACAAGTGATTCTGAGCAGTGGAGAGCTAAGGGCATTGGGGCCTCATTTGTGAAAGCCCTGTCTCTGTTTGCAGCGTTGGCCAAAGGCAACTCGTCTGTCTGGCAAGAGCACTGCTTCGCAAGACAAGAATCTTGATCCTAGACGAAGCAACAGCAGCTATCGATCTCGAGACGGATGATCTTATCCAGATGACAATTAGGACCCAGTTTGAAGACTGCACAGTACTGACAATAGCGCACAGGCTGAACACAATTATGGACTACACAAGGTAAAAATCCCTTAATGGTGTGTGGTGAGGGGGCTCACCAGTTTACTGGGTATGTGAAGCAGCACTTAAAAGGATCTGGCTTGTCTCTAGATAGTCACACTGATGCTCTTGTCAGGTAGTATGTAAGCAATGATGTTTAAGCCATATAATCCTAGAATATCCAGACCCGACTTTGCCTGTGTTGGCGTAAGAAACGGGTTCTATATTCACTAACCAGAGCTGCGCAAGAGATACTACCCAGTTGCATTAATAGCACTCTAAGCAAGCTTATGGACCCTTTTTCAACTAGCAGCTGCTGTACATTTTTCACTAACATAATGTCATATTAATTACTTTAAAATATATTACTATACTTCATAAGCTTTTATCTCCTTGGCTTTCTGGTACTATATTTTCCGTTCCAAGTATGACACTTCCCCCCCGCCACCCCTTATAACCCCTGGGAGATGGTGACTGTCCTGTACCTTTTTAAATCAACCAGCAGCTCAGGGAGAATATTTATCATATGTTGTGTTTCAATGTGTGAAAATAATTGAGCAAAACAAAGGCAAGGCAAAGATTAGAGCAGTTTGCTTTGTGATAAAAAGGGGTATCACATTTCGTGCAAGGAATTCTCTGACGTATCTTCCCCCTACCACCACCTTTTGTTTTGCACAGGGTTCTTGTTCTAGACAACGGAACCATAGCTGAATTCGATACACCTGCAAGCCTTATAGCATCGAAGGGTATTTTCTACAGTATGGCCAAAGATGCTGGACTAGCATGAAAAGAAGACCCCTTGGGTTTTTGTTGGGGTTTTTTTGGTTTTGTTTTTTTTTTTTAATATTACTGACTTGCCACAAAAGTGACTTGTGAATGTACTGTAATTTACAAAACAGTTTTTGTAGTAGACTAAACTTGTGATATGTGAACAAAGTATTTTACAATTATAAGGACCAGAAAGTGAGTTTTATATTTTTAAATATTTTCTATAAAGTATTTTATTATATGCTTTTTTCCCAAAGAATGCCAAACATTCTACCAAGAAAACGTATGTATCGCAGGGCAGTATGTACTGTATTCAGGTTTATAATTAGTAAATTATATTAATGGTACAAAATACCATTTTGTTTGTTTTGTGTGTTTTCTGCATAAGGATTCATTATTTTTGAAGTGGAAAGACAGGCCCAGTTAAGCAGTGACTCAGCTGAAAAATAGTGAAATAATGTGTAATCTCTGAGTGGTTCCAACCTGTTCCTTTCAGTATTTTCCCCAGGATAAGGGAGTTGAATGCTACGGCTTCAAGGCAGTGAGCTATCCCAGAACCTTTGGTATCCCTGCCCAGGGCAACATTAGCATTATAAAATTCCTCTTCAGCATAAGAATTACAAGTAACATATTTAAAACTAAACCTACAGATGGCTTAACACAAATCACTAACTACACAATTTCTACCAATTTAGTAGACTCCACATAAGCCTGCAGGGACGTGATTGGCACAGAAGTATTACAATTTTGCTGTATCTCTCGTTTGTACGAAGTCACTATGAGTAAGTCGCCACTTAAACTGAACATGCATGCTGAGCAGATATGTATAGAATTTATCTCATTCAACACTTAATCACCTGAAATAATATGTGATTTCTTTTGCAGAAGTAAATATCTGTCTTATTATTGATAACCAAGCCTCCTCAGATAAAGGGAGTACTGTGTTTAAACAATATTTGCTGCTAGAAACTGATAGAATGTCTTTTGCTTTAGCTGTTCGCTTCTTCCACCAAGCACCCTAGAAACCTACCCGGCAAGAAAAAGTTCCTGTTTTTCCATAAGTAAAGTTCAGAAAAACTTTGAGAAGACAAAAATAATCATTTATTAATTCTTACAAATAATGCTTCTTAAATAGAAATAAGAATCTGCAGGCAAGCATTCATTTGACATTAACATTTTATATAGCAGAGCACAAAGTAATGAATTATTTATCATACACAGTAATGTAATGATTATACACTGATCAGATTGTTAGGAGTGTTAATAGTATCTTCTGTGTATAAATTGCATAAGGTATAAAAATATTCCTCTGAATGCATAGATAGCGATCAGCATCTGTGCAAGATAATCAGTGTAACAATGAAGTCATCAACCCAACAGCTGAGCTTTTCTCTAGTAGGTCTGACTGGTACCTTCACGGATTTAGCTGGCATTTAGACAGTTGATGCCTAAACCCTATCTGTTCTGTGTGCCAGGGAGAATGCAACAGACAAGGTGCAATATGAGGAACAACAATTCTATTATTCCATTATACAGAAGTTAATACACCACCAGCAATTTGGTATAAAAAATAGATATTGCCAATGACTCAGACCACATTTGACCTCCAACGCTTTTCAGAAGAGGATATTTTGTTGTGACAAAATGTTCTACTATTAGCCTTAGGAGACTGAGCTTCACTCTAGTTAATTGGCACACAGGAAATTTGGGTGTTTGCATGGATCTGTGCTTCCAGGTGAACACTGGACATCCGACTACAAGGCAGACTGGGAGAGGGCTCCCTCTTGTGTGCTCAGTCACTCCTGCATTTGCACAAAGTACTATTCACTGGATGAGAAAGAGAGAGCACAGGTAAATTTGGGTACCAGTTCCTATTGTATTAGCTGTAATATAGGTGACTGCTCTGACTGCAGGGGAAGAATGAACCTCCTCACCTGCCACAGCTTGAGAAAGGAGACAAGGCTGTGGTGGATACCTAGTCATCTGGAGCGGTAAGAGCTTATGACGCAGTTCTCACCTCAGCATTTCCTCCAGGTAGTTTGGGTGGCTCCCTGCTCAGCATGCTACTTCTATAAATCCCATTTACAGGTCCACGTACAATGTACAGCTAACTTGGGCTGTAAATTCTTAGACAACAAGACCGTAAAATGCTTTGGTTGCTGTAGTTTCCAAAGACACTGGGGGGAAGGGAAGGGGAAGACAAAGAAACAGTGGGAAATTCAGTCCAGTTTGGTATGTTCTGTTTGGCTGTTATATCTCATACTTTAGTTTGTTCGTCTGATTCATACTACATGCTTTTACAGTTAGGCTACCAGAATAGAACTCTTCCTCAAATGCAGATGACTGAGTAAATACTAAAATCCTAAAAAACTAGATAAAATCCAGCTCTTAAATTTTTCAATTTATTTATTCCAGAATTTCATAGCAAAGTCGTCTAATTCTGAATTTTAAGTAAGAGGAACAGGAAAAGTGATTTTTCAGTAAGCAACGCAGGTAAACACAAGTCATTGGAAAAAAGAAAATACATTGCATAGGAACATGAAGATTTAGTATCAGCCCAGAAAACCCTGGGCATTTCACTGGTTTCTTTTTCCACAGGCAACTTTGAAGTTTCAAGATGCGATCTTTCTCAGGAACGTAGAGGTAAAAGGAAAATAAAGTTACAATTTTTATGCTTTTAAAAGGGGAAATTAAAGCAGCATTGGAGAAATGTGTTTTCAATACTGTAACAAAAATAGTATTTTAAATTGCATATGTCAACACTATGTATTGACAGACAACAATAAAAGGGATTTTGGTTGAGAGCGTATTTATGAGTTGGATAATTACTATCACTTTTTGTTTTCAACCTGAGAAATAGGGAAACGTGTAAACAGGGATTAAGAAATTACAGGTAATAAGTCACTTGATAGTATTTAAACTAGACGTAGTTTTGTGCTTCTTCCACAGATTTAAACCCTTCTAGTTTTTTCCTTCTAAATAAGATATGACTTAAAATACATGATCTAAAAAGTGAACGTTAATGGGTAATGGACTCAGTCAAATATTAAATGGGTTTCATGGCAGGTTCTTTAGCTTGAGTACCTCTGCTATTTTATAGCAAACAAATTATTAGAACAGTTTAAGGTAAGCCTTTCCCTGAGAGCTGCTAACTCTACAGTATTTCAAGATTTTTGTAAGGAAAAGTGTTGCATTAACAGATACTTCTACCAATACTTCCTTTGCATTAAGCTACTTTCATATCAGACTCATTACTCTTAGATTAACTAGAGGCTGTAACTGTGCATAACATCTTTAGTTTATTTCAAGGTTAACAAAATAGATTTTTTTTTTTTACATCACTAGCCCTTATAGATACTGTATTTCAAATGTAATTTTAAAATGAGAGATACAAATCTTTTATTTTATTCTTTAAACAATTAATATGTCAGTTCTGATGCCTTCTTGTTATAACCACTCCGTTCAGAAAGTGTTGGGACTCTGAAAAGTAAGTTTTTGTCGCTTACTGTTAGAACAAGCTCCAGTTCTTGGAAATCCTGTAGCCTTGCAACATCTTTGTCCTTTAAATAAATACAGCAAGTTGTTAGGTGATAAACAGTCTGTTCAATTTTGCAGAGAGAAGTTAAAATAATAGGCTCATACTAACATAAGGTATGTATTTATCCATAAATATGACAATTCTTTACAGTAAACTGGAAAGCAGACATCCTGTTGCATCTTAGATTTATTCTGGGATCCTATTCAGCTACTCACTTAAGCCTATTTTTAGAAGGAATGCAATACTGATGGTGAGTGCAAGTGATTACTGGAATTACACTTGTAAAGATCTACTGCATGCCACCCCCAACTCCTCTTTTTCCCCCCCCCTTGGTAATTTTTAGAAGCTCATGAATTGATTCTTGCCTCCACCCAAGAAGGTCCTGCATGCAGCTCCCTCTAGAGCAGCCCACCAACACCATGGTGGCACTGGCTTAGGCAGGGTCTCATTGCTTAGAGAGCAATGGAAGACACCCTCCCACAGTACAGGCTCGAGCTCTGATCCCCTCTGCAGCAGTACTCTGCTGCTGAACAGCATTAAAGAGAATTAGTTTGTATCACCTCAGGGAACAGTAAGTGTCCTGCAGTCCTACCCAGAGAGCCTGAAGTAATTAGAGCTGGAAATGAAAACAGTCCTTTCAACAACCACCTAAGTTGGCAAGTGACAGAACTGCTTATGTCTTTTTTTTTTTTTTTTTTCCCCTTTCCCTTCTTCTCTCCTTGACTAACAAAGAACAAGTCATCTTATGGCCAGTGAAGCTGCAGTACAGTATAGTCTATTAATCTAGTACTAATCAGCTTAGCTCCACGACTGATGCCAACAATGCTCTAGAGGCATTTGAGAGTGAAAGAAAGGTCAACGGTGAATCAGTATAACAGGTTAGCCGGTCTGTTTTCTGTACAGGTAAGTGTCACTGAAGTGAAAAGACAGTTACACTCAGAGACCTGTGCTCAGAATAATTCTGAAACGCCTTTCTGTTTTTTGAAAGGACTGCATACTGAACTAGCAAAACTCAGTTGAGTACTGCAGGCCTTTTAAATGCTGACGACAGGTCACAGTGGTGTGGTACTGCACTGAATTTAAGAATGTAGCAGAGAAATCAGATATTAATTGGGCTCAACACCAAAAGGAAAACTTTATGAAAGGAAATGATCGAGAAACTTGAGAACCTTTTTACCAAAAAAAAGAAAAAAAAACCAACAACTACTTAGTGCTGAAAACTGAAGTGAGGTTTTTTGTTTGTTGGGATTTGGTTTTGGTTTTTTTTGGCAACATGGGCTTATGCAGATGACCAACAAATTATTCCTTTTTAATGGTAACCTAAAATTCTTTTTTATAAGTTACTACACTTCAAAATTTAGAGTTCTTACCTTTCTTAACATTGTATTTGGTAATTTTCTGATCTTCTGTACGTGCTCAGGGTTAACACACAGCTCACGGCAACTCACTCGGAGCAGTTCCTTATAGGTCAGTTCTTGTCTGTCCAGTTCAATTTCAATGAAGTCATTTTCTCTAAGATTAGGGTTTTGTATTCTAACTTTAAGCACCAGTTCTATTAGAAATAAAAAGGTACATTAATAGGCACATGTATAAAGGAATTGGTAAAGATATCTCTATACTAACTTCCAAATATTTCTATGTTCTATTAACCTTCTTTTGTAACAATACAAGAACCCTCAGAAAGCAAACAACTTGTTTGACCACAATTTTCATTAGACTGACTTTCATCAACCTATATAAAAAAATCATCACAAATCTAATACAGTGTGTGTGTATGCATGTATGAACCTTTGTGTGAATACTCATCTTACTGACTCATCAGTCATTTAAGCTGACTTAAAAGCAGAAGATTATACTGGTCATCAATTTCCTGAGCAATTCAAGATTGCTTTTCTTGTTTTTTAATTCTTTTGGTCATCAGGCACTACAATTCAAATGGGTTCTTTTAACCTCTCCTTGCTAATTCTTGGCATCAGAACAGCTTTTATTTCAAGAATGAAATTCTGAACTGAAACGGAAATCCCAGATTTCCCTCTTCAGGCAGGCAATATTTACCTGCAGAAATGGCAGATCATGTAATTCTTCACCTCAGACTCGGGTCTGCAGATTGAGCCATGTGAGGTTCTCTCTTGAGCTCACTGGCTGCATACGCACATTCTTTATTTGAACCTTGGAGCATGCTATTTAGAGAATTAGATTACCCTGGTGTCCATATGCTTTTATAGCATTTGAGACAAATAGCAAATGTTTTCATTAATATTTTAATAACAGTTCCAGCAGAAACAGGGTATCTGCCTCGTTAATTCCCTTCACATGTTTCCTGAATGCCTAAGCATGGGAACCTGAAAATCTCTATAAGTGCTGTGAATGCATGTAACCCTGATTAGTCTACTTTCACTGTCCAAGATGACAGAAGTTCTAAGACAAAGCGAGAAGAGACTTTTATTGTTACCTTGCATATTAAGTGGAAAAGCTCCTGTGAAGAAAACCGGCTGAAATGCTGGCACAGGCCCCATACAGGAGCCGTTCTCTTGCTGAGGTACAGACTGATTTGATCCAACTGGCGAAGGGGGACTTCTGCTCCACGACACAGATCCCTGGTAAACTGGACCTTTCTGAAGGACAGGTTTTGAGTGTCGTGGTGCAGTACAGCCTCTGGGCAGTGACGGCATGCCTCCGTTATCAGCCGCCTTGGGAGCAGCATTCCCATGCTGTAATGATGCACGTGTGCCAGTCTGCACATCAGGTGAGGAAGGAGAGTCGGTATCTTGTGATTCTAAGTGTGAGATACTCCCATTCACAGGGGAATCTGGAATACTGTTACTCATGGTGTTATAAACGTAAGGGAAAGGTGGGTTAGCCAGATAATTAGGGATGATTGGCAGATCTGAATCTTTCTTCAAGTCTGGGAGTTCATCATCTTCCACTGTAAAACAAACAAAACAACATTCTCCAAGACTGATTTGAGGGGGGAAAAAGAGAAGTGTTCCTATTGCACTGTGGGGCTGCTTTTTTTTTTTTTTCTTTTTTTTTTATGGGGAGGGAGTAGAGTGTTAAAAGCATCACAGGATAAAAGATGAATAAAGAAGCACTACACCTTTTTTCTACAGTAGACAGAACCGTGCTCAGGTGTTGCAATACAGTAAACACAAAAGCAGAGTCTGATTCCAGTAATTCTGGGGGTGCTATTTCCTTCAAAGCTGCAATACTTTTGTTTTGTTTTAATCCACAGCGAGCACGTTGTTACATGGTCTCTGGTGGTATAATGCTATCGTCTTCATAATGTATAAGGCAATGAAAAACAAAGGGTAATATGTTGTTTGATATTAAGGCAGGGGATAAAGGGAAAAGAACATGCAGTACTGGGAGAGCTAAAACATTACCAATTCAACAGCTGGGAGACAATAATGAAAACAAAAACAGACAAGAGAATACAAAGGGGAGGAAAGAGGTTGTTAATCGACCACATTTCAAATTACTTATCACCTCTAGCAGCAAAGCCTACTCCGCTCTAACAGTTACAAAACACGACAAAAATGCTCTACTAATGTCCTTTAATGAGCTGTTTCTCTGGGCTGCTAATTTCCGATTTATTCAACAGTGTCTAAGCTCCATAGAACATCAGGAAAATTAGGTGTTGCTCATATAAGGGCTTCATACAAATTTGAGAGATTTTCTCCTATTGCCCTTTTGAAAATAGGAAGCTGCATCTATCTGACACTGATTTAATCATGGCATTTTTCAAAATACAGTTTTTCTAATTTTTCAGTGTTTAGAAAAAAGTTTGGCTAGCTGGATATGGAATTTGTTGGTAATTCTCTTTTCTTAAACTTTGATTTCTTACCAAGTACAAAAATCAAGTCACAGTTATTACTAAAACCCGAACACAGTATCTTCACATGCAAAATAAATATTAGAACACACGCGCTTTAAACAGCCTTTTACTACAGTCTTTGATGACCATATCACATAGCCAACAGGTTTACCTCCCAACATCTTCCTTATCTCTCTCTTTGACGTTAATTGGGCTGGCCTTTCTCCTTTCTTCGTGAGGATCTCCTTGTCAGCACCAGCGTGCAGCAGGTAAGCCACCACTGGAGCATGGTTCCGTTTACATGCCCAGTGCAAACAAGTCCTGCACATGGAAAATGTTAACACTGTTTGAAATCCTAAATTATGGCAGATTAATTTTCACTCATGCTTGCTGCCTTTGAGAAGAACAAGACCTAATGCATGTCTTGGTTTTAATTGCAATCTTCCTTGGAAATTTACACTGGTTTTGGAGCCTGCAGTGACACCTGCTGATGTAGTTTTCCCTTGCTCTAGTGCTCTTGATACCAAGTTACCATAGTAGTATTTTTAAAGTTCAAGATCTTTTCAATTTATTAGGCTACTAACTTTTCTGGAAAAATAAGTATTAAAAGAAGGCTTGTGTATGCTATTTTAATCTTTGAAAGAATAAATTGTACTTGTGTGTGTGTTTGTGTGCTATAATAGGGATACCTCCCTGGGATGCTATTTTTACTCTTTAATTAATGCTGTCAGCACAATGACTTGCACTTTTTGGAAAGTAAATGATGTTTAAAATATTGTAAGCATAGTTCTTTGCCCAGTTGCTATCTGCCGCACCAGCAATTCCCAAGCTTTCATCTGCAGACAACTAGTTTTCTGCAATCTGTAATTGATGAACAGAACTAATCACTTTTCTAGGTGTTTTTTTTTTAATTATTATTTGCAGTTGCTGACCTAGAGAGACAGAGTAAAGAAACATCCTAAAAGCTACTGAGCTTATTTAGTGCTTAGTATTAGGGACTTAGTAGACTCACACACTATAACTTGCTGTACAGTCCTGCCACCCTTCCCTATCCCAGGTTCTACTGATGTTTGACCTTAGCTTTTATCTTCTGTTTTAATTCTCTAGCTCCAGGTGAAGGAAACTCTTTGGAAAAATGAACACACTTAACCCTTCTCCAAGTTGTTAAGTTTTTTTAAAGAATTAAATAAAATAAAGCAGAGATAAATAAAAAACCTAGGGGAAAAAAGCTTCAGTCGAAAGTTTAGCTCCAAAACGCTTTTTCCATTTCTTTTTTTTGTTTGTTTGTTTTTTAAGGAAGAGTTGTATCTTGACCAGTAACTCCCAACTTTCTACATAAAATTCTGCTCTTTTAAGTTTTCATATGTAGAAGGATGTAAGGGAGAAAAGAGAGAATCTGATCTTTGGAGGGATACAAATCAGATAAAACCAAGAGAAGATAAGGTGACTTCCAAAACCTTGTTCATTGTTATATATTTTGGCTTAATAAACCTGTCTTATCAGAAACAAAATGCTCAATTCTACACTTTCTTCTTATTAAAATTAATGTATCTTGATGGTAGAAATATCTCTGAATTAAAAGTAATGACACTAGTCACTGCAGCAAGAGGTTATGTAGAATTAGATCTAACTGAAGAGACGTGAATGTAAGTGTATGTATACATATTATTTTTCTTCATAGACTACCCTAGGCAGGGTGCTACAAAAGCTGTGTTTCAGAGGTGATATTGCTAGCAATACTGTAAAATCCTGTATCTTCTCTCCAAGGTCGGGCTGTGCATTTCAACTAGAAAGTGCCATTTATAAGTGGGATAAAATAATTTTGTCAGCAGAAAGTATTCCTGAATTTGTAACACCAAAGATCCCACAGAATCTGAGACAAGCTCCGAGAAACTCAGACCATGTTTGTTTAATTTTTCTGTGTAGTGTTTTCTGGACTTTTCACAAATATCTCTTTGTGAAATGGGTGTGAATAGCCTGCATGAATTCAGAAGTAGCATATTGCCAAGTCATAAACTAGTTTGGGCCAAAGAGGTGGGAAAAAGCGCAGACAGTATGGCTGTGTTTGCTTTGAGTGCAAAATCTGCAGGTTTAGTTTGTAGAGCAGGTATGGAAGCCTCAATAGCATTGGCCTCATTTGGGGATCCATCCTGACCATTTCACATGGTCTCATGCAGAGAGGTACCATCCACCCACAGACTTGACACGCATCAAAATGTAAGTAATGTAAGCACCTCTTAGCATCAGACGTACTGAGAAGCTCACTGGAGAAATTTAAATTCTACAAGCAAATTTAAATAACAGCAAAGATCCATTTATTGCCATAGTTAAAAATGACCAGGTCATTATTTTTTTACACAATTATATTTTAGGACAGATTTTTTTTTCAGTGCCAGTTTTAGATACAAACTCATTTTGGTGACAAGCAGCTGTTTATCTTACTAAGACAATTCAATGTCTTATGAATCAGTAATCTTAAATTTTCCTAAGTTCTAATTTAAATCACCACAATTTGAACCTTAAGTTGCAAGTGTCCCACACTTCTCAAAATTGCTAGTCGAAGTTTCGTCTTTAAAAGTCTAGCTCCTTTCCTAACTTTATTCTTCCTATTTTTAATTACAACTTCAAGCACAATACAGCACAGTAAATACAGGCTGAATTGAACTTATGCAAAACAATCTCCAAAAATGCCTGAGCAGTCCCTGTAAATCCTGCTTCAAATAATATTTTGTGTGTGTTCATGTACAGAGTCCCACTTGTACAAGTGTCTATTACAGAAAAGTCTCGGGTTTAGTGTCATCAGGTGGTATGTGAATGAGATGTCAAAACGAAAGCATTTATGTGTATCACTGAAACAGCCTGCAAGTTCCCTGGTTGAAAGGGAAAGTCATTTTCAAACCTGATTTGGGAGCTGTTAAAAAACATTTCTGGTTACACATGAACACGTGTTGGCAAGCCGAGGTTTGCATTTTGACGGCCCGTTCTGTCTCAGGCTGCCAGCATGCCCTTCCAAAAAAAAAAGCGCTTCAAAAAAAAAAAAAAAAAAAAAGGCAATATAAAGTAACAACATAGTGACCTGGAGAAGCAGCAAACACCACAGGCTCCACGCAGGAGGTGGGACGGGGACGCGGTTTGTAACAGCGGTTATCAGCTGCATCACCGGTTTTTCCTCTTTGGAACAGAGATGTCTACACAGAGGAGTATTTGGCAGCGGATCGACCTTTTCATTTCGTTCTAAATTCAAACTGATCTGTATTTCACGTGGAAGAGTGAACCCCCGGCAGCGTTAGCTCTGGAAAACCTGAGGAGAAACCCCTGATACAGCAGCGGGGCCGGCGGCCCCGGCTCGCCCGGGAAGGAGCC